AACACTCATTTAACAATTGAATCTATGAACTAACTATTAAAATGACTTTGAATGAATAAAGTCCACATTCAAATTTTAATAAACAACCAATCATCAAATTGGCAGTAACATACATGGAGTCATGAATTTCACAGTTGAGGAAGTGCAAATAAAAAACAATGTAAGAGTGAGAATCAGACGCATGGACATATTTCATAATGAAAATAATGTTTTTTAATCTTGTTTAAGATCAACAATAAGATGATTAAAATTAAGATGAATATAATTATTCAAATTATAATTATAAAGATTACTCAATAATTTGAGCTTGTGGATTAAAATCATCTCATACTTGAAATCTATTACTAATCTTTTGAAATAAATATCTATAAAAATTTTAAAATTTAGTCAAAAAGTTGACATTGATAATATAAAACATGAATAACAAAAATATAAAAAAAAAATATATTTTTGAAGATTTAGAACAACTCTAAGTTGAATATGTTCACACAATTTAATGGAAAAATATATCATATGCATAGGTTTTAGTCCATTGATTTTTTATCTTCTAGTAAAAAAAATAGTAGGTTATCTATCATATAGTTCAAGTTCAAGATATTCAAGATGGGTGAGAAATTTGATACTCAATATTATAAATGAAATTTGAGAGAAAAAATAAGCCAATGTTTATCTGATGGATTTGAAAATATGATTTGAATATCTACTTGAAATTATATAGGATTTGTTATCAAGTCAAACAAAGGAAAGTTTTATTAAAAAATTTAAATCAAAGTTGAATTTGTCAAATAGAAAAAATTAAGTTGAATTGGTGATCTCACATGAATCAAGTTCAAAGATATTTAGTTCAATGACAAAAACATTTACATAGAAAGAAGCAGAAAAATTGATATATTAAGTTTATCACAAGTTATAAACTTGAGTCAATCTTATACATTCAATATTAAAATACTCAAGATGATGATTTTGACTAGGCATTAAGTTGCATAGCTAATTATATCATTGGTACATGTTTCAAGCAAATGAACAAATACAGCAGTTCAAGAATTTAACCAAGATGTATGAACAAAAGTGCAACTAAAACTTTGCAAAGATTTTGAAATAAAAATGATCAAAGTAAAATATGATGATATGACGGATTTGAAATTTGTTACAACAACATTAGAGTCTCAATCAGCTTTTAACAATAAAGAGTTTGAACAATCAAGCCGGTTAATGGCAATAACAAGCAAATTGTATTCTTTTCGAGTGTGATCATGCATGGATGACACAGTCATAATATATTTTAGATATATGAAATATTCAAGATAACAAAGAAAAAATGATGTTCAACATTTTGAAATGAAAAATCTTCTGATCAATGTTATGTTGTATCATTTTTTAAGGAAAGATATTGACAAACATCATCTAGCAGATTATTTGATAAAGAAAAAATGTACAAAAAAAAATATAGAAATATAATTGGAGCTTAGTCATCATGTGGACTGAATATTTGTGGTAACAATGAAAAGCTTATTATAGATTGACTTTGAGTATAGTAGACCTTTGTATAAAGTACACTCTAGAGAAAATACACCTCTGCAAAAAGTATAAATCTTTTTTTCTAAAAGCAAATACTTTTATTTTTGTATGAAAAAACTCATTATATAAAATACACCTTTGTTAAGGCTGCTCTGTCCACGGAGCAGTCACGTAATTCCATATAAGGGACACCCACACTCTATCTACCTCGTAGAAGCAATGGAATGAGATCGGAAAAAGAGGTAGCTTGTGGATCTCAGCACAAAACCGACTATTGTCAAGCATCTTGACAAAGGTCATAGCATCAAGGTCATAGCAGAAATGTTCAAAGTCTACAAAGAGACACTACCAAGGATAGCAGAAATATCTTGATTAGTGAAGTAGAAAACAACCGCTTGCTATTAAAGGCAAAAATTGTTAAACAAAGCAACGTCAACGTTGTCTATGGATATGGTTTGTCATTGCTTGCGCAAATGGGTATCCGATCAGCGGATCAGTTATGCAAGAGAAAGCTAAAAAATTTGTTCATGAATTGAGGATCAAATCAACAGAGTTTTTGCATTTGAATTATAGCTACAAAAATGGAAGTAGCGCAACAATGTTTGTTCTTACAAGATCAGCAATAAATCTAAAAATGTGGATTTCAAACGAGCAAGTCAATGAATTTGTGTTTGTAATTCATGCTGACTAGGTATAAATTGAAAAATGTCTTTAACATGACGAGATAGGATTCTTCTTGCATGCATTACTGGACTCAACATTGAATCACGTTGAACAATCATGCAAGGGCAGGAAGCAAGGAAAAAACGAAGTTAATGTAGCTTTGACTTGCTCAGTAGTTGGAAAGATACTGCCACCATTGATCATTGGCAAATCAAAGAATCCAAGATACTTTGATGGTCACGATATGAGAAAATTTAAAGCCAAGTATTGTCACAATGCAAAAGCGTGGATAACAAATCCGTCTTTTAATCAATAGCTAAAAGATCTTGATGATCATTTCAAGAGATAAGTCAAAAAATCTTGCTTTTTCTAGATAACATCCGGTTCACATAATAATGTGGACCGGATAAAAATTTGAAGTCTTATTCATATTGGAAAAGATTGACAACTCTATTCATGCATCAAAACTTGCAAAAACGCTCACGGTTTTAGATGCAGTCAAGTTCATGGACAAGATGTGGTTTTTAGTAAAGTAAGATTAAGTGTACAAATGTTCTCCAAGATGTGAATTTGTTGTAAATCAGGGTGTGGCCTCAGACGATAGTGAGATCATTGAACAAAAAAAAGAGCTTGCTGGTCTTGTTTCCAGAATTGGCATCGATCGAGATAAGTTAATCATTGAGGAGGACTTAATAGAATTTGAAGTAGTTGAAGAGCTAACTTTGATACGCCAACTAGTCGAAGTGCACACTAATGTTGCAGATGTGGAGGACATCGAAGAATCTCTTGTGATTCTGGAAAACAAGAGGAGCCAGATACAACGAAAATAGTTTCCATATCCCAAGCAAAAGAAATGGTTGCTCAATTGATAAGGTTTGCAAAAAATCACTCAAGGTTTAGTGAGGAGCTCGATTTACTAAACTTGAGTGCAAGTGTCAAGCATCTTTACAATTCGTCTTTACAACAATCAACAATTTAACGTTTTTTTTTCAAAATAAATAATGAACTTGTGAACCGGTACAAAAAATAACCTATGGTAAGATTTTTGTATATAAGGTTTTGTATCTATTTTATAAGGTACAGAGTGGTTTTATGTTGGAGCAAGTAGGATGTACTTTATGCGGAGGTTCTACCATATTTAAAAAGATTATGAGTCTTGAAGAAATTGTATCTTGATTCTCATTGTATTGAAAATGTACTATAGAATACAATGATCTTTTAATGGAAATTAGATGATTTAGAATAATGAACAGATTAGAGCATGCATTTCTAGAACTGACTTTTCAAGATTCATTTTTTATCAACATTTAAATTTTCATTACAATCACTCTTGAATATCATTGACTTCTCATTTTTTTATAATAAATTATATCGATTTATTCTTCTCATGACGAGTTACATGGTACTTTGAAAATTTAGAATTTATATATTTCTTTAAAGTAAATTTTATGTTCAAAATTTGTTCAATGTTTTATTATTTGACATATTGATTGGATCATAATTAAATTTAAAACAAAATGATCGATAAAATTATTTACTACATAGAAAAAAAATTGATTAATCTAAAATACTTATAAATAAAAAAATTAATTATTTAACAAAATCAAAATTTTAGATTTCTAAATGTTTATCAATGAATAAAATTATAAAAAAATATTATGAAAATGTATCTTAATTAAATATATAAGGAAAGATATATTTTCTATAGAAATTGAAATATATTGATATGATTATTACATTCATTTTCATTAATGAAATATCAAATTATTTTTAAGTTAAATTCTTGACATAAATTACACCCTATTATCAAATATTTAAATTATTCTTTAAAATTTATTTATAAAATGATTTGAATCATAGACTAAATATTTTTTTGAGAAAAGTCCATTTTTAAATTTACCATTTTTTTTCCAAAATACAAACAACAAATTTTTTTTATTAAAATTTAACGCAAAGTTAGAGTAGTAATATATGAATTGGAAAAAAATCATTTTATATATCTCTTAATTTGAAAAAAATTCAGAATAATTTTGGATGAATTTTTTTGAATCGATAAGTTTTGATACTAAAATAAATATTTAACAAAAATTTTGAATTTCTTTAATATATGTAGGTATATTATAGTCTTTTTAAAAACAATTCCTTAAAAAATAGCTCAATATAAAATATTAATGACATCAATTAAATCATTATTATTTAGAAAATTTACAAATAATTTCAATTTATTATATTTTTTTCTCATATTTCAGAATTTTTTTCTATAATTTATAGATTAAAAAAACACATATTCATATGTACCAAATCGTGTGAAAAAGCTAAAAGCGATAAATTTTGATCACAGTATTATTATGGTATCAACAGTTAAAATTATAATATATTGCATTACTTTCAAAGTGAACGATAATGATAACAAATAAGTGAAGATGGGTATGTGTGTTTGTTATTGACTATAGTAAACAACTTTTATAATTTTTAAATTCGAATGATCTTCGCAATGAAAAATGAAATCATAAAATCAACAATTCGTATAAAAGCGAAAGAGTATTTTCGTATAGAAGAGAGTTATTAGTTTACCTTATTTTCTTATCAAAGATATAATTATATATATATATATTTCTTCTTTTTCAATACGCATTGTCATTTTGATAATACCATATACACGCACTTGTGATATTATCTGCATACACTTAGAATGAAAACTGAGTCGGACCACAACCATTGGGTTGTGGTCCGACTACTGGAATACTAGATTTTGATCGTAGCAATAAACGGACGGAGGATGATCCAAGATCAATGAAACTGTGTATTTGAAACAGGTTCAAATAAGTAATGACAAATAAGCCTTGCTCTCTTTTAATCTTGGAAACCAGGATGTAGAAATCTGGCAGAGGTTTGAATATGCTCCAAGCAGTACGCGCACTGGTGTCAGTATGAGTCTCCCTAGCTCATGTTCGTACGTCATTGAACATGTATACTGTAATATTATATTAATTTGCTGTCATCAGGAATGAGGACATTGTCGTTACTGACCGTACTGTCCGGGGCCTGCACCAGACATCGCCATGCTTGGTCGAACGTGCCGAGATATGAATGCCATTGGGACTCAGGGAACCACTACTGCGTGTTTGTGGTGACACGAACCTCACTTTATCGCCCCATCTACCACATCGACAGTACCTATCGACTCGAGGACATTTGCTGCGGGAAAGCCGAAGGAAATATGCTGGAGGAGAAAGATTGCAGCCTTAAAATTTTCAAGATCCCTCGGGTTGAGGTGATGCATCGCTTGCGTTGTCCTATAATTGTTCGGCTGGCTTACTATGAAAGGCACGGGCGGTCACCATCACGCTGTAATTTGCGTTGCCATGAGAACGCTGGCAGCAAGGCTGAAATGAGGATTGACGAGGTCTGGCAAAGGAAGCGTTCTTCAACTCCGCTGCACGAGATCGACATGGCAATCTGTGGGTAGCGTAGGGCGGAGGTCCAGGCACCCAGGCAGGCGGGGACCACGAGAGCGCATCAGGCGCCGACTCCTTGTCTACTGCTCTTACAGCCCTCAATTACTTTCCGGCTGCTGGTAGGTTTGCTCCCGCCTGATCACTAGATCCAGACTCTGGCTTACCGATCCGTTGCGCACCTCCTCTCCGCCATGCAGTTCGGATCCGGGGTCCTGAATTCATTCCACAGCGGGGTGGGGTTGGATAGCGGAGCTTGCAGTCATTGTTCTTTTCATTTTAGCCCAATGAGCTTGACTAGCTCCAGCCTCGAATGACTGCAGAGTGAAGCCGGCACTGCAAGGAGGAATGATGAATGGAGTTTGAGACTGACTCGGGTGGCTCTCTAAGCCAGTCACGGTGCCCACAGCGACGAGATTCCTCTGGTCGTCTGGAAACTGTGCCCCTGTCCAAACCTTCGCGGCTCATCACGTCAGTCAAGCTACCGCCCATTTTGCAATTCACTGTCATCGTGAGGTACAGCGCTTTATGCCAGAGAAAAGATTATTTTCCTCACGGGACTGGCCATAGAGATTTTTCAGTCCTTCAGCCGTGTTCAGGCACGTACAGAACTCTTCATTCTTATCTAGGACCATCTGAAGCGTCCTCCCCTCCGTTCCGAGTTTCAAAATGCGCCGCAAGACTGGGAAGTCAGTACCTGCACAGGTACCAGTACCAACGGAAATGTCAAAGTTTTGATGAATGTGCTTCGAGTCACCGAATCGCTTCCCTTCTGTTCGCCGGAGCCAAGAATGAATCCTCATTGGGTGCGATTATTTTATCGCTTCCAGAGGCCACCGTGAAGCAGCCAGATCACAAGAATCGAAAGGGGCCTCATGTGATGTGTACTACTGAGTCTTCGGATGTTGTGAAAGACGCTTCAAGTCATTGCACAAACATTCGTCCGAAGAAAGCGTTTCGTGGCCAAGCCTGGTCTACAAAGCTAGATTTAAGTTCAAAACAAAGCGACTGAATACTGAATGGCCATCCATCCCGAACATGCTCAAATCAAATCCTGGAGTGGGGTGGGGTACCTTGTTATGCTCCTTGGCATTCCAGGCGATCTGAACAGATCAACCACCGAGCAACGCGAAGCCTTACAGAATAATCGGAAGCCGTCATCAGCCTGGAGAATAAAAGATTACAACCAGATGTGCCAGATGTTGATTCCAAACCGATCGTCGATCGAACAGTCGAGCCCAGCACAGTGGAGCCTGTAGCGGCCATGGGCCACATCACATTCAACTGCTTCGTACAGACGTTACTGCAGACGTAAACAGCGATTCCGGGCTCCGGTTTTCCATGACGCTGCCTCGAACTGCTGACCTTTCTCTCTCTTCTTTTGACGGCCTGCTTACCATCCATCCATCCCCACGCTGCGATGGAGCTGAAGGTGATTGTCCTCTGCTTCCTTGTAGTTAAGGCCAAACGCTCCAGGGCCAGACGTAGGCAAGATCTTCGGGGGAGAAGCCAGGCCGAGTTGTCGCCTACAAGCACACCCTTTGATCAATTCTGCTGGTCTCAGAAGGAATCTACAGCTAATTAGCAGCAGGAATGTTTCCGGGCTGCAAGGCCAAAGTAGCTTGTGAGGAAGACTATGCTCCAGCTGCCCTCCTCCTTGCATCTATTCATCATAGATCATCTCTAAGCAGCTCATCCAGTGAGATAATTGCCGTGCTATATTGGTCTCATGACATTCTATTGTGTAAAGCTGGATGGGATTGCCCGTACGTTTTCTGTTGAAATTAATATCGTCGATACTTGAGGGCAACAAATGGTATAATATTTGTAGACCGCGAAATCTAAGGGTCATCCTGACCTTGTGAAGTGGGTGCGTGGTTCTCCTGTAGAGAGGAAACTTGTTGTTCAGGTTTTGCTAGCTTCTAAGCCTTAAAAAATGCTCACAGGATTTCCATATTCTACACTGGTTGAACTTTTTCAACTGCTTGTAGTTCGTAGAATAGATATGATAAGAACCTTTTTCTTCTTTGCACGCGAGCAAATTAACCACCCCAGAAAGCATGCAGTGAAAGTGAGGGTTCAGCATTACACATCTACAACGATTACGTGCATGACTTCTACCTCGTGGCAATAACTCCTCTGAAAAGAGTGGCGGACATTGGCGATGATCTCTTCAAGGTTCTCCAGGATATGCCTCAAGATACCTCCGTTTCGCAGCCCTGCAGCACACAGTCGCGATCAGTATGACAATGATCGTCACACTTTATCCTAGGTGGGAACTGAGAATTGAGAGCTCATGCTCATGCATGCATTATTCAGATACATGCAAGGGTTGTCGTGAAGCTAGTTCATGCGCTAGACATGTCTTCATTAATGAAATAAGATGCGGGGCCTACTCATGAACTAAATCTTTCACCGCGTCCTTTCATTTTTCGAACCTGTATCGTTCTGAGAATTTTCCAAATATTTGACTGGAGCTTCGAAATGACTCCAGTAGATGGTAGTACTGCTTTCAACGCTAACAGAAACCCCAATCGATGTCCCCTAAGTGTTCATCAACGACTTCCACACTCAAATTATGCCCCTCTTTCTGGATTCACTTTGGACTTTGGGCCCTTCTTCATGGGACCAATGGAGCCTACCTCTTCTTCCTTTGTGTGACTCTACTTCCACCAATGCAATAGACACGGACTTCTTGGAAATTTGCCACCCGTAGACTGCAGAATCAAATGGACTTACAATATGTTATTTAGTGGCAATGATCGCTTCTAGAAAAGCATGAGTTTTGACTAGAAGGCATGGGATGGGAAGTCAGTGCATCAATGGAAAGGGCGAAACTTATCGTCGCATGCTGTGGCCTCGCTTTCTCTCCCGTAGTAGCTTGCCTCCACACCTTGGCAAAAAGATTTCGTGCTTAATGAATGAGCCCAGCATAGTTGGATTTCACGGAGTGGATGGTTCTCTCATGAAAGGGTGGCACGATTCAAAGTCTTTGGAAATTCGCTACAATACTGTACTGTACTAGTGGAAAGGGATGGAGATGCTTTCGTGTACACACAACCAAAGGGGGCCAACATGCTGAGCAGCTGCAGTCGCCTCAGCTTCGAAGCCAAGAAGCTGCAACGTTGCAACGCCCCGTCTCGTCCTCAGATATGTACAGTCAAAGTCAAAGCATCTTAGCCAGACACGTGTGGGAGTAATTGCAATGGCCTCGGCGTCAACAACTACCACGTGCAATACCTCCACCGTCCACGCCGATGAACCTTTCGCCCGTCGCAACGTATGAGCAGAATCATGCACACCCTGCACTCAAATTGCTGCCCTTCCTTGATCCCCGATACGATACGGCGCTGCGAAGTTTTCCGGGCTCGTTTCGACCCGGAATTTTCTCTTTCCAGTCTCTTACCAGCACTGATTCCCTCCTGCATAGCCGTGCGGTGGAGGCAACCGGGTCACGAGGACGTCATACACGAAATCATACTCTCCCCGCTCCGCGTGACGGATTTTATACTTTCCTACCGCAGATTCTATGCAGCAGAGAAGAAGTGCAGTTAAAGGAGGACGGACGACTTCTACTTCCCCGGACCCGGGCTCGACTGCAATGGAGGCTGAAGAACCGCCTGAAGATCACACTGGGCGGCCACCTGTTCACAATTATGGACCCAACGGAGCACATTTGTATGTAGAGCGCACTTCGCAATTTGATAACGATCTCCAGACGAAATCTTTCTTGTTCCGTAGTGGAGAGTCAAAATCCGAGAGCGAGAGGGAAAGAGAGTGAGACAGGGAACATTGTGTATTTTATCGCACATCGGGTCCACTCGAGATCTGCCGCTCGTCAAGTGCTTCGGTCTGGGCGCGCGGAGAAAGTATCGGGTCCAAGGGAGAGAAAAAGAAAACAGACTCAGATGTAAGAATGCACGTCTGGCTGGGTTGCTTAGCCCGAAAAGAGAACTGGAGAACTGGGCATTACCGACTCGCTGAGCCTTGGCAGAACGAGAACGACGACCACCACCTACTCTCACGTAGCTTGACAGATATAATCTTTATGGCCCGTAAAATAGTATGTTAGCTTCATAGGAAACATTCTTCCACTGACCGACTCGGAGGAATTTTACGGAGGATTAGTGCCTTGGCTGGAAAGAAAGGGGTCATCACTGGGCAATCATGCCGCGCTTTCTCATCGCCTCCCTGCTCGCCCTAAGCTTTTCTTCCCTCAGAAATGTGAAGCTGCCAGTTTTAAAGGGATGCCTGACATCTAGAGTCACCGGAGACCCACCACTGCGCCGAATATGGGCTCTACTCCCGACACCCAATATCTTCGCCACCACCTCCAGACCTGGGACCCAGCCATCCTGTAAGTATAGTAATGTTGACTAGATCAGGCCAGATGGTACTGCTCAGCTCAATGCTCATCCAACATTGTGGAGTCGTGGGACCTACTTCAAGCGAGGAGCTAGGCAGGATTCTCGTGGTTGAGAGAAAAACTGTGCTTTGCTCGCTAATACTGCATGTTGATGAAATCATACCGTCTCGGGGTTGGTACAAGTTTCTGTAATTGCGGTAAATGCACGAATTCCATAGACTTCGTAATCATGACTCCGTTCGAAATCCGAGATATTGCAGCAAACTGGCCTTGTGATCAGTTCAGAAGCTATTTTGAACACTATGAGGCAGCAAAGCAGCCTTGACCAGAACGAAGCCTTGACTGCAGTCTTGACTATCGGCAGCGGATGAAACTCGAGATACGAATAGATAAAGTCTGGTAGCCTTTTGGCCTCCCCGCATTAAAGTAGCTCCGTTTTAGTTTCCGCTGACAAGACGGGGGAAGAGGTGAAGTCGTGGGAATAGGGAGAGCTTTGAATATACAGTCATTTCGTGGGGTTCGTTACCGGGAGGGGTGAAAAGCTAAACTCAATCAACCATCTTTGTACCTAGTTTACCATTTAGATTCCTTCTCATTGATACTTGTCAACTTCTTTGGACTGACGACAGATGAATCTTTCGCTGACGACAAATGAATCAGGTTACTTGATTGCATGAGACTTACACTTCCTCACATCTGCTATACCTTAAAGCGATGAGGATGTGTGAAGTGGAGGTCCTCTTCGGAAACAGCGCTCCGTGAAACTCGGATGCTCCTCTCGCACGAATACCTGATAACCTTGTGGATAAACTCCACCATGACTGACCCGAGCGATGAAGCAGTTTCGCATTCCATCCACAGGTGTATGCTTCATGCTCGGCGAACTAGTCGACCCTCTGATTCTCCCTGCGATCCCGCGCTTCGTCCATCTGCAAAGACTCCATGCAGCTGTAGAGTTCCAGGTCGTATGGCTGCGTGACTGAAGTCTCATTTAGAAGCTCTATGATTTATCCCAGCTCTAATGAGCTTGTAATACAGTCTCATTCGCCGGTTTCAGATTCCTGATGTTGCGCTTCCCTACTTCTTAAAGTAATCAGCCTAATAGGTCAGAAAACATTCAGGTCTGATTGAAATAACTACACGATGCATGTTCCACGCCAGATTTGTCTAAAATACTGTCCTTCATTTGCTATTTAGGACTTTCCAACTGCTGTGGCATGTTAGAAGGTTCAGTAAAGGTAGTACTCATCTGAGGAACTGCAGTATACTATCCTAACACCTTGGAAGAAGGATATATCGTTCTGATATTAGAAAGTTAGAAGACTTTCTCAATGTGGCAAAAGGTGTGTGAACCTTTCCACCATCAGGTGCTAGGGATCTACTTGCCACAATATAATTAAGGTCAACCTGATGAGTATCCTGCTAATTATAATCAAACGAAATTTCATCTCATTTTCAAGTAGGATTGTCGATGAGAGATGAATTTTTATCATTTGAAATTAAGATTAAGATTTGCTCGTTTCATTTTTGCGCACGATACTCGAATACTCACAAAAACTTTGAATTCTTAGGTTTCACGAAGTTGGTGCTGCGAGCATTCTAATTACTTGCCGTAAGATTCACGTGGTGCTACCTTGAACTGACAAAATAGATAAGACCTCCCCAAGTCCAAAAGAAAGCGGCATGAATCTATGAGAGCCATAGGGATGGTCTTTCGAATTACAAACAGGATTCTTGTGGCCACGATGTGGAGACGAATGCGCAGCAAAATGACAATGTTGACAGAGCCATATATTCTGAGCCTAGTTCATATTAACAAGCTGATGATTGGTTACAGAACTCAACACAGTTCAAAGATCCTATCACTGGGCTGAAAGAACCAGCACTTGCGAGTTTAGACTATAAACGCATGCAGTGAAACGCTCCCAAAGATTCTAAGACAGTTATATACTACCATTCAGTTCCATCAGTTCTAACGAGAATAGGAAACGAGAAACAAATTCCAATTTTTGCTGGGAAGAACACATCGAACACAGACGGCAAGGCAGTTTGTAATTCCGCAAACTGCCCTGCGGAGGTTTAAACGGCGGAATGGGGCCAAAGGTTCCAGAAAGAAAGACTGAAATTCAAGAATGCAGCTGAACAAGCACGGACCCGCTAAAGCGTGTGACTGATTGATAATTCAACTTTATGCCATGCATGAGCAAAAGTACAGCAGAAGAAGTGCTGAATGGACATTTTGCTCACAATCGCTCACAATCTGTCGACCTGTCAAATACGAGGACCAGTTGTTAGAGCGAGCCCGAACGAGCCCGGCACCTCAGTAGGCAAGAAAGACAGTGGAGACAAGGATGAGTTGAGAGTGGACGCGAACTCTGGAGCGCACATGATGGACGACTGGGTCGCCGCTGCCGCATCAGCGGGGCCGACCCGACAGGGCCTCGCTCTGGACTCGGTCCTTGCTCTTGCGCCGTGTCCCGGTGCAACGTAACAGAAGCGAGAAAGAGGAGGAGAAGGAAACCTGGAAATATAGTAACAAATCTAGTAAACAAGGCTTTCATTTTACCGAATCCAGACAGAGCGATAGACTTGGATCTGACCCGAGCAGCGGTTCGTTAGATCCTGGCAACTTCACGGTATTTGAAGCCTGACAAAGCAAGAATTGAATGCAATGATTTTTTCTCCAGAACCTCGGAACACGAAGCTCTTGAAACTCCCCAGCTCGTCGTCTGCCATCAATGCGCGTCTCATCATGAGGAAAGTGGAATCTGCTCGGGACTCGGGACCGAAACAGAAGTGGCAGACGCATGAGCGTGTAAACCTCAGTGGCCTAGGCACACGTAGCCCGGTCTGGTTGTTATTCGTAGCTGCTTGCGGTGATTTCCGCATAACTCACATCTCACACGCCACCATCGTGTACGTCGCATCCTTCCTTCCTTCCTCAGTCGTAATGTCTCTCCCCGCTTATTTCGCGCTGTGGTGCCCGTCCACATCCCTCCCTCCTGTTCGAGTATGCCCCTGCCCCCATGTTCATGCGCTTCATCGACATGGTGTTTAATAATTTTCACTTTATTTACTCATCACCTCGAAACAAGTCCTCACTCCTCACATAAAAATGGAGAGAATCGTTATGGTATCCATCAGTTTAACTTTACTCGATGGAACCCTACGGGCATACCGTCTTTGGGTTCCCAACGAGGTAATGCCGTTGGTTATAGTTCTTGTAACTATGATTACTATTAATTACAATGTGAGGATTGGTGATGGTGAGGATGCGTGGGTCCATCACAGGGTATCATTGGGTAAAACGAAACAGTAAAGGTCCCATCAATCAAATCTCTCCATAAAAATACTTCGATATAGTGCTTTGTGTGCTACGGCAGTAATTATATATTCTTCACAAGGTATGAAGGAACGTCGCAAGTGATGTCAACGAGGAATGACACTCCGCTATTTTAAGCACTTGGTGAAGGAGTAGCTCCATTTCTCCATCCAGCTGTAGCTTCACTTCCTCTTTCATACGATATCTAAATGAAAAGCTTATGACTTGTGACTATTTATACTTTGAATGTCCTACCCTTTGTATTTGAATGAATACATAGCAAAACGAAACCTACAGGTTGAAAAAAGCATCGGTTTAGATGAACACAAACAATATAAGTTTAAATCTAATAAAGGCTAATTGGAAAAAAAAATTGTTGACAGTGGACAAGATCGCCAAAAAATTTCTCAAAAAGTCCAATTTTATTCATTGATCATGATATAATTCTATCATAGCAAAAAATTTGATTTATAATATATTAAAATAGAGTTCTCATAAAATAAAATACACACATTCACGCCACAATTTAGATATTTTTCTGTTTATTTTTTAAATCTCTTTTTCTTTACAATAGGATCAAAAGAAAATTATTCATAGATAGAAAATATAACAAGTCAGATAGATTAGATAAAAATATACATGTCTATCATATTCAATATCAAATATACAATCATGACATGATTCAAACCTATGAGCGGATCTAGATTTGGTTGTAAAGAAGTCACTTTTGCATATTAGATGTCTAACTATACTACATATGACAAAGCTTTTATAAGATAAATTACTCATCTTCCAACATATGCAACAATTGTGGTAACAAAAGTTCATAGCTTCAAGTAAAAGAGTTTTGTTAAAAAAGGTTTCTCTTCATTTTCTAGCATTTGAGTTCCATGAAGTTATGGTCTCACTTTTTGTTAAAAGTAAGATCTTCTAGTAGCTCATGTTAGCTTGACTTCAGTTCTTGAAGAACACTAAATTATCACTAGATGAATAATTTAGTGATAATTATTCACTAAATGAATATTAGTGAGCTCACGAAAGCTCTCGGTAAAAAAAACTTTGGGGTTTTTCAAGAAAACATGAGATGATTTATGGACGTAATGGTAAACCATGTTTATTAGTTGTTGTCTGTACATATGCATTTTTGTGTTGATATGTGTGGGAATCAGGTCTATTAAAGCTTTCAACTTTACTTGTGATAAAAAACGTGACGTGATGGTAAAGTATTGGATTAGTCTGAAGTTGCGTTGTGCTGGTTAAGCTTGTAGCAATTCAGTGACATGGTTTGGCTTTGAAGGATAATGAGACTAATCAGCGAGAATTCTAATGATCTCATCATAATATATACAAAACTTAGAAGATTTGTAAGTCAAATTTAACACTGTAGAAAATTTATTAGTTGTGAAATTTTTTATCATTAAAAAGTTTGAGAGATTTACTTTGAGATTCATAATACGGATCATATCTTCATTTTCTGCTCAGAGCTTTTGGTTCTAATGTTTTCCATGGAAATGTGCAGAAGTTAATGAAACTCATGCATGGATATAGTTATAACGTATGTTCCTTCTTATTCTCACATTTTTGTCCATATGTAGCAATGTAAAAGGCATAATATAAAGATATCGAATGCGAATTTTGTTTGTGGCATAAAGGAGTAAAAAACATAGTTATAATAGATGTCTTGAAAAAATATAAATAATTTCCCATACACTTTATAGCCCATATGCTTTTCTTCTTCTTAGCATGGAGTATAAAGGAATCAACCTAAGTACATAATGAAAAACTGAAAATCTTATCTGATTTGACTTGAAAGTATTGAGGCCAACATCATGATTTACTCAGATAGACAAAGATTTAGTAGAAGTAGTGCAAGCAAAGTATGCCCTTGCAAGAAAGCAGAAGTGTTAATTACACACAAGGATCTTCACTGATCGCAAAAGATTAAAAGATTAGAGGATAAGCAATATAAAGAAAGTTCAAATAATCACAGCAGGTAGTTGCGGCTAGCAAGTTCATTGAATTTAAGTTTTATGTGCACTTGTTACAAAAATATAGTCTGATTATGGATAATGTAGATGTAATTACAATATATATCTAAGTATCTTTGAAGTAAAAATGACATCTTCAATCTCATTATTTTAGTATCTTATGCTGATGACATGATCATTTTAATAAGAATCAGTTTGATGTTAAAAATTGTGATTTGATGCAAAAAGAAAAATATGCATTCAAGATGAATGATTTGATCTGTTACAAGAGCATATTAGAGATGAATATTTATAAAGAAAGAAAAATCTGAAGAAAAGAAATTCTATGATTAAGTCAAACCAAACACATTCAATATAAGTTTAAAAAAATATTGGTAAAAATGATAAAACGTAAGTCTAACGTCATCTATTTTTTTTAAATATACTTAACAAAACCATCATAGGTTGATTATAGCAAAATCCAAAAGAATATATACATCTTTGGTAGCACAATTTGAATTTAATGTGGTTAAGTGTCCAATCAATGTCATTAACAAAAAAAAAAAAAACATCGTCAATTATCTATGATAAAATAACAAGGATTCTCATGTATTTGATGATATGCATTGGACCTAATATTGTTTAGCTATGGTCAAAATAACTATATGTACATGTTTAATCTAGGTAAAAGCATTAAAAAGCTATGAAGTAGGATCCCAAGTCCTTTAAGTGTATTAAAGATTACAATATTTTGCATTTTGTTTGACGACTTATTGATCATAGCGATATCCATGCTAGGCTTTGATGATGAAGACAAAAAAATATACAATTGGGTATGTGTTTACTTGTCATGATTGATGCATTAGTTGGAAATATACTTTGCAAAAATGCCTACCTCAGTTTGCAATAGAAACTGAATATATAGCGATTGCAAAGACAGAAACAAGTTATTTAGTTGAATAGATATATCACTAAGATAGAATTGAAATATAAACATATTAATTTTATTAATATAGTCAGAGTAAGATACATTTTACCAAAAATCAAATGATGGACAAATTAAGTGCATCATATCAACATTAGGTATAATTTTATCATAGATTATTTTTTAAATATGAAGTTGAGCTAATCAAAACTGGCAATAAACTCAATTCAATTGAAATGTTGACCAAAATTATATCTTTGAATAGTTAGTGAAAAGATTGTGCTATTTTGCAGAATTTTTATCAAGAGCACAGGTAAAATTTAGTAGCAATTTTTTTATCTTTGTATATATACATATAATTTTAAGAATAAAGAATATTCGATATTGGAGTTTTTTCTCATAAAATTTGCAAAGTTTTTTATATAGATATGGAGGTTAAGTACTCCATGCCATACTTAAAAGGGACATTGTTAGTATTTTTCTGGTAATTCAAGTTAGCTTGATCTTAGTTCGTGAAATTTGTTGAAATTTCAGTTTATAAAATAAATAAATAAAGATTTTGTAATATTTTTTTGTATTTTTATATAATTTTTAGATATTATATGGACGTATCCAGTAATGATGAATCATGTATGTTCAATATCATTTGTGCATGTGCATTCTTGAGTTGATGTGTGTGTTAGTGTGTGATTTTTCTCTTGATAACCTTCATGTGTATACTAAAGATTGTGAAGATTGTTAATATAAAAAACAACAATATGTGTAACTTTTGAAAAAAGTGGATGATACCACCAACATATGACACAATGTTTTACATAGTGAGATTAAAATTACATTAGCTAATTAGTTTTTTCTATTATTCAAATATCATTTAGTTTGAATAGTTTGAATTTGATAATTGGTATAAAACCTAATTTCATATATTTTGGAATGCTAGCTGTTTTTATATTAACTCCGGATCATTAATTTTGGTTATATGTTTATTTTGTATTTTTTAAGTTTAAGATTTTTGTTAAAAAAAATTTTGATTTTGTAAAACTTCATTATATATATATATATATTTATTTATTTATTTATTTATTTTTACTCACATCATAAAAATTTGACACATAGTTTTCTAATTAATTATAATGTTTGAAAGTATGATTTCAGTTAAATAATTTCTATCACATTGTATAAAAATATTATCATAGGTTTAAAATGTACGATTGATCAATCAATGATTGCATTGTTCATGTTGAATGAACTTGAAATTTAATTTTAAAATAACTTGAAGTTTATTGATGACATTACATGTGGAATTGTGTGTGTACAATTGCAAGAAATAAAATATGCTAAATATGTTTAACATAAAATGATGATTTCATCAATTACATTAATTCATAAAATCAAAACTTATATTATTCAAACTAAAAAATTTTATAATCATAAAAATGGTATATGCTAATATATCAAACTTGAGGAACCAAAGTATCAAAGGGGTGAAAAACACAATACAAGCGAAAAATCACAAACAAGGTAAAACATCACTATCACTAACTAGTGCCAAGAGCACTAGTTCAGAATCTAATGATGTCTCTAATAAAACAATCTAAATCAAGAGAAACTAACTATAATAATGAATAGAGTTTCTCCAATTCTATATCATGAACAAGCCTAATTGTTTAGTTCCTAGTATAAGTAACAGATATATGCTTTTCATCTGCAATATACCTATCTTCAAATAATCTACAAGTACGTTCACTTCTATCAATATTAAACTAATGTCATTTCTCACTTTTAAGTTTATAAGATTCAATCTATACCTAGCAATAATATGACATAAGAACATAGAGATTCTTACAAGTAGATAATTTTGTTCACATAAACAAGCATAAGATTCACATGATGTTGATAAAATTGCATCTTAGTGC